TGTCCTCACCTTACATCACAACAGTTGGGTGACGCTTACCGTGTAATGTTAAAATAAATAGCATGTAATTGAGTTAGTTCGAAGTGAGTTTTCATACAAGCCCAACGCACTAATTAAGGTTGTCGCAAAATGTAACATATATGTAACAAATGTCAATGATGTCAATGAATTTTCATTAAAAAAATGATGTCTAGTACAGTTTACGAAACTTACGAACTTCGCCGATACTTTTTTGGTGGGTAGTTTGGTAAGTATGTAGGCGGGTAAGTGGGTAAGTGGGTAGGTGGGTAGTTAGGTAGGTAGGTAGGTAGGTAGGTAGGTGGGTAGGTGGGTAGTAGGTAGGTAGGTAGGTGCGTCATGATGTGAAAAAATATTAAATACAAAATTGTTATTTTGGTGCGAATGAATGTTGTTACGAGAGATATGACGAATGCATGTTTGATGACGCGGATGAAAGAGAGTGAAGTTTTGCTATAGGAACGGGTTGTTATAGTATGCAAGCTAGGTAGTTCGGACTAGGGAGAATGTGAAAGATACTTCGTGTAATGTCGATAGTTTTTTGTTTATACGAGAATAGTAGTTGAATAATTATTGACCAAGAAAATAATAGGCATTGTGTAAAGTGATTATCGCCTGTATCGTGGTGATGGGAATGCAGATGGTAGTGGTACGCTTTAAATGGTAGTAGATCACGTGATCAAACACGACACTCTCACAGCAGCCCTAACAGTCATGTATAAATGTGTCATCTAGTCCATATGGTCTTTGTGCTAAATTTCTCTTTTGCACATTTTTCGTTGTGTTTTTTTCAAGTTGCGCATTTTTCTGTTTCTGTTTGCGCTTTTTCCGTTTGCGCTTTTTTCTGTGTGCGCTTTTTTCCGTTTGCGCTTTTTTCCGTTTGCGCTTTTTTCTGTTTGCGCTTTTTTTCTGTGTGCGCTTTTTTCTGTTTGCGCTTTTTTCCGTTTGCGCTTTTTTCTGTTTGCGCTTTTTTCCGTTTGCGCTTTTTTCCGTTTGCGCTTTTTTCCGTGTGCGCTTTTTTCTGTTTGCGCTTTTTTCCGTTTGCGCTTTTTTCTCTTTGCGCTTTTTTCCGTTTGCGCTTTTTTCTGTTTGCGCTTTTTTCTGTGTGCGCTTTTTTCTCTTTGCGCTTTTTTCTGTTTGCGCTTTTTTCTCTTTGCGCTTTTTTCCGTGTGCGCTTTTTTCTCTTTGCGCTTTTTTCCGTTTGCGCTTTTTTCTCTTTGCGCTTTTTTCTGTGTGCGCTTTTTTCTCTTTGCGCTTTTTTCCGTTTGCGCTTTTTTCTCTTTGCGCTTTTTTCTGTGTGCGCTTTTTTCTCTTTGCGCTTTTTTCCGTGTGCGCTTATTTCCGTTGCGCTTTTTGATTTGCGCTTTTTTCCGTTGCGCTTTTTTCCGTTGCGGTTCTTTCTGGGAACCGAGCTGTATCATGTTATATGAGAAGGCGGATGTTTCAAATATGGCATACGCAAGGGTTGCATATTTTACACGTTCATTTTGTTTCTCTTCTTTCACTACCTCCTTGTTGTCAAATGTTATAAAAGGCTATACCGCTTACATTGGGGTTACAAAACTACACATTAAACATCAGAAAAGTTATTTTAAAAATAACAAGGGGACGTCGTGGTTGGATGGTAGAGCTCTCGACTACTTGTGTACTATGTCTCGCGCCTCTACGACATCCGTGAGTCCACTCAGCTCTGATAAGTACCCAGCTCACAAAGAAAAGACGCCTGGCGTTATGAGCTGACGGTATCTTCCTTTCATATTCCAAGGTCAAGAAACATAATATAAACTCTACTTCATCTATTATATGGATCGTTCGGACCCGCGCCGTAGCTTTTCTTTTTAAAGAACATCAAATTTATTTTCCTATTTGTTTTATTACGAAAGAGGAACTAGATATAATAATGCTACGTCATGTTTTCTACCCCCCCCCCCTCTCCCTCCCCTTTTCCTGCTACAGGTAACGAATCATTACCAAAGTACGAATCCTCACAATTCTCTACGAGTGACGTCACGGACACCACCCACCTACCCACCCACACCATTAACCAAACAAAAAGTTGTTCGTTCTGAGGCGCATTAAAATTTCAACTAGCTTCCCAAATCAGTGCGGAATAGCTCAGCGAAATGTTTGGCATACCATGTATAAATACGCCAAGAAATCGCATCACAGCCACTTCTTTAATAGTAAATTTAGTACAAGTTGCAAGTAGGGTCCACGGATTCGGGGGCTGCGTGTGTGGGCGTGTGGTGTGTGTGTGGAGGGGGGGTGAGGGGGGGCGGCGTCAGAACGGACTGATGTTAGATAAACGAGCATAATCTCACTTAAAATAAGACAGAGGGTGCACATATATAACGACGGCTGTTTGTTGTGCTATATTTAATACAATATATTGAAATCGGCATATATATATATATATATATGTATATATATATATATATATATATATATATATATATATATATATATATATATATATATATATATATTCATATACATATATACACACATATATTTGTATATACGCATATATAACAATATATATATAACAATATATATATAACAATATATATATATATATATATATATATATATATATATATATATATATATATATATATATATATATATATATATATATAATATATTACACCCAAAAGCTTGAGCCTCACCTGATAAAAATCAAATCTCTCGCATCATTAACTTCACATTATATCGCATTAAAAAGAAATAATTAAACCCGACGCTGTAGTACTGCTGTGTGCTGGCCCAGAGACTAAGAGACAGAAACGAACTAGACTACCTTCTAATGTCAACAAATTTCTGATCGATACAAACCCACTTTTTTTTTTTTTTTTTTTTTAAGATACAAACCCACTGCTGTCGTTAACCATTACAAACGTATCAATCGAATTAAACGAAACCCAGACGATAAACTGTTTAAAATTCTGTCTAACACCTGGCCCTACCGTGTGTAATCTAACGATGCGGATGACTTGCCTGGCTCCCGTCACATCCTTGACAGGTCGGCGCGAGCTAATATTGAGCTGAGCATTATGTAGGTCACCGGGTTATTCCTAAACGTGAGTCGAATACGTCGGGTCAGAATAAAATGAGAGATTGGAATTTCAGTTGTTAGGCAGGAATTTTTGGTTTTGTTGTCTCCCTGTTTCGTCATTTCATTACATCCCTTTGTATAGACCGTCGAAGCATGAGATATTGCAGAGACCAGACATCCGAGATAGAGCTATTTAACCCCCCCCCCCCTCCCCCACAACACGGTGGTTCTAATACTTCTTCTCTCGCAAGGTGTCCATAAATTATGCCAACCTAATTTCCTTGATTTTTCTAGCTCTCCACCGTTTGTAGCACCCATTTAAGAAATAAAAAATAATTCTGCTTTACATTTCTTACCCCCCCCCCCTGTGACGTAGTAGATTAAAATCTAAGCGGCCTATCCCTAGAAATAACACTTACGAAATACATCACGAAAGTATATCGGTATAAGTATCTATTATAATCGTACTTGAGAGTTAGCTATGACTAACAGACTCAAGTCTGAGTAAGACCCCATCCGCTATACTGGCGCTTAGGTTAGAGAGATATGTCTCATTGAAACGTGTTTAAATTTTTTTAACAGAACTTATTTTATGTCAAGTGTATCTATTGTGATCTAAGACAACTAGAGTAAGTTTCGACTGGGCACAGAATATACAGCCACAGCACAAAATGATGCCACCTTAGAATATAGAACGTTATACAAAATGTATAACACAAAATTTATGCCACCTTAGAATATAGAAATTTATACAAAATGTATAACACAAAATGATGCCTCCTTAGAATATGGATCGTTATACAAAATATATAAAACAAAATTATGCCAACTAGGAATAAGGAACGTTATACAAAATATATAAAACAAAATTATGCCAACTAGGAATAAGGAACGTTATACAAAATATATAACACAAAATTATGCCACCTTAAAATATGGAACGTTAGACACAATATATAACACACAATTATGCCACCTTAGAATATGAAACGTTATACAAAATGTATAACACAAAAGGATGCCTCCTAAGAATAGGGAATGCTATACAAAATATATAACACAAAACAATAGGTTCCCTTAGACTATAAAACGTTCTATAGCTCAGTAATCACAACCCTTATAGTTGCCTATATACTATTTTTTTTACTAAAGCTAGGAGAAACATTTCATTCAACTTAGACAACAACACATGTTATTGATATACACATATTCACATTCTAAAAATAAATGATTAAAATTAAAGTGTTTAGGCCTAATATTTGTTATATCTTATTTAGAAACGTTAAAAAAAAGTAATACGAAAGTCAGCGGTATAAACTGGTTCATTCAACAATATAAAACAGCAGACATTTCGAAAACATAAGAATAAAAAAAAACACAACCGACGTCAGTGTTAAGTTGGATTGCTTTAAACGTTAAAAAAAGTAATGTGAAATACAGCGGTATCAACTGGTTCACCCAACCGTTCAAAACATAAGACATTTCGAGAACATAAGAAAAAAGAAAACCGAAGACAGTGCTAGGTTACATTGCTGTATACAACCACCGATGTTATTTTATATCAAAAGAATTAAACACAACCCTTTTTGTGTTATGCAATATGTACTTTAGAACAAATTTCGTAAACTTACCTTTTTATTAATTAGTGAACGTTAAGTAAAGTTTTAGTGTATTAAAATCCAAAACCAAAGTAGTAACACTGAATTTAGAACGCAAAGGTCAAGAAAAATAACACAAAAATCTGGCCAACACACATCGAGGTCACCACTTACTAAAAGTATTCATCCATGGCTCTATGTAATCCAGAGGACGCTCTTCATCCGTAATATATTCAGACCTTCGTAAAACGTCAACAAACTGAAAGGCTACTGCTCAACGTTAACACAGTGTTTAAGCCTCTAAGACAGGGGAGAGAAAAAAAGCGAACATGGCGGTTGCTGGTCCAGTTCTTCCCCCTCTCTCCGTCTTCACACAGCCGCAACTTGACACAATTGTAGGACAAGGGCGACGACTGGGGAAAGGGCGGTAATTTCTATAAAGTACGGTAATGGAGAACTGAGACGGGGATTAGATTTGTATTAATGTGAATCCGTGTGTAATTTGTATAGACGTGTGTAATTTGTATAGAAGTGTGTAATATTGTAAGGATGTGTGCTAAACGTAAAGAGTTGAATATGTAAAAAGATGTGTGGAATTTATAAAGGTGTGTAATTTGTATAGACGTGTGTAATTTGTATAGACGTGTGTAATTTGTATAGACGTGTGTAATAGTGTAAGGATTTATGTAATTTGTATAGATGTGTGTAATAGTGTAAGGATGTATGTAATTTGTATAGACGTGTGTAATTTGTATAGACGTGTGTAATAGTGTAAGGATGTATGTAATTTGTATAGACGTGTGTAATTTGTATAGACGTGTGTAATTTGTATAGACGTGTGTAATTTGTATAGACGTGTGTAATTTGTATAGACGTGTGTAATTTGTATAGACGTGTGTAATTTGTATAGACGTGTGTAATTTGTATACACGTGTGTAATTTGTATAGACGTGTGTAATTTGTATAGAAGTGTGTAATTTGTATAGACGTGTGTAATTTGTAAGGATGTGTGTAATTTGTATAGACGTGTGTAATTTGTATAGATATGTGCACTTTATATAGAAGTGTGTAATTTATATAGACGTGTGTAATTTGTATAGACGTGTGTAATTTGTATAGATGTGTGTAATTTGTATAGTCGTGTGTAATTTGTATAGACGTGTGTAATTTGTATAGATGTGTGTAATTTGTATAGACGTGTGTAATTTGTATAGACGTGTGTCATTTGTATAGACGTGTGTAATTTGTATAGACGTGTGTAATTTGTATAGACGTGTGTAATATTGTAAGGATCTGTGTAATTTGTATAGACATGTGTAATATTGTAAGGATTTGTGTAATTTGTATAGACGCGTGCAATTTGTATAGACGTGTGTAATTTGTATAGACGTGTGTAATATTGTAATGATGTGTGCTAAACGTAAAGAGTTGAATTTGTAAAAAGTAAAAAGGTGTGCAATTATTCATCAAGATGTGTGGAATTTATTAAGGTGTGTCATTTGTTGACAGCAGTTGTTTTACTTAAATGTTTTATTTTTACCTGTAAAAATAGTAGTAAAAATATATACAAATACCTTTAAAATAACCAGCTTTCAAATGCATTAAATACAAAATATATAAATACGTTATAAAAATATTTATAAAGATTTAATTTTATAAAAATAATACTACCCCTTGCAGTTAAATTATCATACAAATGTCGTAATTTTTATTGCTTTTCTTAAGCTTTGAAGCCAAACAGGAATGCTAAAAATAGCTCTGCCATAATAAATGCTGCAGAGGCCTGCGTGAACAAACCTTAAAATTCAAACCTGAATTTTTTATACAGTACTGCCAGCGGTGGTGGGATCAATGAACAATTCACTGACACGCTATTGACATAACTATTGCGATTGTAGATCGATTACACTAGGTCGATTTGATGGGTGAATGGACTTGAGATCGATGACTGACGCAGCTTTGTGGACAATTGAAAATCAAAGATGGGGGGGGGGGAGTCGCTGGTGCATATCCGGAGTTACCCCACTCCTCCCACCCCCCACTCATGCCCTAGTGACGCCACTGCAAGTATGTCGAGATAAAAGTCCAAGATTCAAAATTCTAAAATAGTACTCACTGGCATTGTGCCGTATCTTTACAAAAAACATTTGGGATTATTGGATAATACCCAAACCCATTAATAGAGATATGTCTGTGTTGTGACTTAATAACGAGAAAAGGATTAGAGATAGTGATAAGAATTTGAATTTTATTAATAGAAAAAAAAACCTTTAGAATTATGGGATAATACCCAAACTAATTAGGACGGAGTGGTCTAGCGGTGGAGAGCCGGACTGCTAACTTGTAAGTCTCGAGTTCGAATCTGAGTTCAAGTCACTGTCACTGACAGTCCGTCCCTGAGTCTACCCAACTCTGATGGGTACCTAACTCTCGTTAGGGAAAGTAAAGGCGGCTGGGCATAGTATTGACAACACTATCTCTTCATATGACGAGGTCACAGAAACAAGTGAACTCTACTTCACTTGACCCTTAGACCGTCAGGTTTGAAAGGGAAACTTTACTTTTTTACTTTTATCCAAACCCATTAATAGAGATATGTCTGTGTTGTGACTTGATAACGAGCTAAGGATTAGAGATAGTGATAAGATTTTTATTTATAGGACAAAATTTGAAAGTTCACAAGAGATGAGTGTTAAAGATTGAGCTAACGATAGGTTTAATTAGGTAAATGGAAAACTAGCTCATAAACTAATAGTCAATCCGGAAGATGAAGTAGAGTTTAGCAGTACTCATAACCCACGCATGCAAGAATACAGTATGACAAGTTTAGTCTATTAAAACATTTACTTTAACCAACTTTTGACGGGTTCTCGTTAGAGCTGAGTGTGCTCATGATTTAGCGAAGTGGTAGACAATGTTGTTACTAGGCTGAAACTCACACCAACAGCAACAAGAGCTCTTCTAGTGAGAACCATCATCACCATCATCATCACCATCATCACCATCATCATCACCATTATTACCATCATCATTATTACCATCATCATTATCATCATTACTATAATCATCATCATCATCATCATCATCATCATCATGATCATCATCATGATCATCATCATTATTACCATAATCAGCATCATCGTCATCATCATCATCATCACAATCATCATCACCATCATCATCATCACCATCATCATCATCATCATTACCATAATCATCATCATCATCATCATCATTACCATAATCATCATCATCATCACAATCATCGTCATCATCATCACAATCATCATCACCATCATCATCATCATCATCATTACCATAATCATCATTACAATAATCATCATCATCATTACCATAATCATCATCATCATCATCATCTGACAACTTGTAGAGCATAAGGGACGCAACCACACCTTTCCATCGTACTTGGTTCTTCAAGTTGGGGCCACGACATTCCGGCTGTTTTTGAATACTCCAATGTGTTGTCGACATAGATCTGTGTATCCATCAGCCATTTTATTACACTACTGATGAATCTTACACTTATTAATAGATCAATGTATTGATCGTCATTTAGCAATACTTACGTTCAGTCAGAGGCTTAGCGAGGGGGGGGGGGGGCGGGGGCGGACCGCACCGGGTGACACCATTTAGGGGGTGACACCAAGGCAAAAAATAGCAAAATATATAGAGAAAATCTTGAGGTGGAGGGGGGGGTGCAAATCGAAAATTTGAAAGTTTGTCCCCGGGAAGGGTCGCTACGCCTCTGGGGGGTGACACCATTAAGTGCCGCACCGGGTGACACCCGACCTCGCTACGCCACTGCGTTCAGTTGTCGCTTACATACTGTTAGTAATAAAACAGATAGTGTTAGTTACCTCACAAGTTAAAGACAGTTACACGTACTATGGACGTTTCGACCTAAGGTCTTCGTCAGCACACAACAGTGTGGTTACGGATTAGACAGAAAAGACAAACAGCAACACATTTTTGGACTTCGCTCGACAGTGAAAACACGTTTTGTCTAAATGCCACGATATTTAAAAAGAAAAGGCGCGTGAAAAAGGACGCTTGGACACCATATAGGGGTGGGGTTGGAGGCGTGGTATATGTGGGGTGGGGGTGGTTAGGTGAAAGACGCCTGTTAGTTTAAAACATCCGATACCCGTGTGTATAACCTCACTGCAGCTATCATTTGTATTTATCTTTTCGCTTACTTACTTGATCTTAAGGGATAGTTGAGGAGGAGTTATGTAATGGGTTAGGACTAGTGAAAATGTGAGGTTTTAGGTTAGGTTTTGTCCGGTCCACTAGGTTTATTTGAGAAGGTTTGTACGGCTAATCGACACCAGCATTACATTCTAGTGTTAGTGATATAATTAAAGAAATATTTAAAGCTAGATTTAATGAAAGTGTTTAAGAAATCGTGTCGCTTATGTTAAATACATGATTATATGGGTTATGTTGAATACAAGATTATATGGGTTCGGCTCAGAGGCGTAGCGACCCTCCCCGGCGCCCGGGGACAAACTTTTCGATTTGCACCCCCCCCTCGAGATTTCGATTTGCACCCCCCCCCTCAAACTTTCGATTTACACCCCCCTCAACCTTTCAATTTATTTTTCCTTCCAATCCATTTTCGCGCCCCCTAAGGTTGGCGCCCGGGGACATATGTCCCCCCCCCCCGCCCCCCTCGCTACGCTACTGGTTCGGCTAGCTTAAGTTAGAGATTTTAAAAATGTTAGCGATGACAAAAGCTACAAGATGACGTTTGGTATGGCTAATCGGCCCAAATTTAAAAAAAAATGTTATAAGGTGAATGATTGGCCCATTAACCAGACACATTACCCGAACCACTGAGCCGCTCTGGGATTATATGAGCCGGAGTTTGAGCCATCCAGCAGTCAAAACACAGGCTAGCGTTATTGATTTGTAAATCAATAACACCCCCCCCCCCACCCCCCACCGTGTGATTATACACACCGGAACATGTAGTCTATGGCCTCGCCCATCCCCGGGGGGTCGAGTGGGTGTATGGAGGTGAGTGTGGGCGGGGCGGGGTTGGGTTTTTTAAGCCCAGTGCTTAACCTCATTGAAAACTATTTCAAATGTGTGTGTGAGAAACTGTGGCTGAGTGTGTGTGAAAGTGTGACTGAGTGTGTGTGAGAGTGTGGCTGAGTGTGTGTGAGAGTGTGACTGAGTGTGTGTGAGAGTGTGTGAGATTGTGACTGAGTGTGTGTGAGAGTGTGGCTGAGTGTGTGTGAGAGTGTGACTGAGTGTGTGTGAGAGTGTGTGAGATTGTGACTGAGTGTGTGTGAGAGTGTGACTGAGTGTGTGTGAGAGTGTGACTGAGTGTGTGTGAGAGTGTGTGAGATTGTGACTGAGTGTGTGTGAGAGTGTGACTGAGTGTGTGTGAGATTGTGACTG